GCTAAAGTAAGTAGGCCTAGACCCTAACGCTACACATACCTCATATAAAAATATAAACATAATACTAAACAACCCAAAACTACCTCTGGTACATATCTGTAGTACCTGATACGACAACGACCACATCTGCTCCACTAACACAGCAGGCCTGCGGCAGTTAATGTATTGTACGCGGGCTATAGCCTGCCGCCTAGGCTAGAGGCTCTACCCTAACCCTAACGGCCTAACCATATCAAATAATGATAACATTCGGAACACATAATATAACAAAGTATACTGTCATGAAATAATTAGATAATTATAATAGTTCATACATAATGAATATGCAACAGTGATATATTTTGTTCTCGGTTAAAACCTTAAAACCAAAATAGCATGCTTCGTATCTATGCACGGTTCTCTTGTTTAGAACGAGGTTGCTTATTCGCTATGCTTTTACTTTTACAAATTAATTACTTAAACAAAATAATAAGGGTATAACATTACATATTCATTAACGATATGTTAAATCATATAGTGATTGTTATTTTATATTAATCAATTAGTTGTTTGTCAGTTATCATATCATTAGAAATACATATTCGAATAGGCCCCTAGTGTACGGAATGCCAGAATCCCTACAACTTGCAAGCTTATCGATGTCGTCCATCGTGTCACGAATAAAGTTGGTTTGTTTGTTTGCGAAGTGATGCAGCATCGAGCCCGAGCAGTTGAAGAGCAGATGAATTAAGTGAGTCTGCAGTTTTGTGACATTATAGGTGTAGGGTATCCGTGCATAATCAATTATAGTTATGTATTAACTATTAATCGGAGGCTCGCTAGAGTCTAGGCCTACTTACTTTAGCCGTCTAGGCTCATGTTTTTTGTCCACACATTCCATCAATCATCATCAATCAATGAATCATGGAACACATGCGTCTAAACAGAGGAATTGCTCCGACCTGTGATTGGAGGATAAAAATAGACCCCGCCCACTTTTCCACTTTTGGAGGATAAAAATAGAATTCGTGACGTTTCGTTTCACCGGTCATAGCCGCGCGTGTATTACCAGGCATTGCCATTACTAGCCTTAGCTCTAGTACTGTATAGCCCGCGTTCGATAAACTGCCGCAGGGCTATAGTACATTGTCGGCTGGAAATACCAACTACGACCTGTTACCACCTGTCCCCATGAAAAATGAATCGCAAAACGCAAAGTTATCGGGCTTTTTAACACTTATTTATCTACATGGACATCTCACCTATCTTTTTGAACACTTTCAACAACTTTACACCATGTATTTGTCCTTTTATTCCACAAAGTAAGCACTACTGGCATTTCATTTTGAAACGAAGTGGCGTGCGCACGCGTGACGTTACCGGATATGTACGCAAAACACATGGCATTTATGGTGCATGTATTATTCAAGGGGGTGATGGGGTAAACTCGCGCTGATGTTGCTTGGCAACGTGAGTAATGTTTACAATGGCGTCCTGGCATAAATCCCTTTTTGAAAAGGATGAACTGCATCGCAAACACTTCTTCTGATCCATTTTGATTTTTCGCGCTCATTTTCGCGCTCGTGCGCACATTGGCACATCAGCGCGAGTTCACCCCATCACCCCCTTGAATAATACATGCACCATAAATGCCATGTGTTTTGCGTACATATCCGGTAACATCACGCGTGCGCACGCCACTTCGTTTTAAAATGAAATGCCAGTAGTGCTTACTTTGTGGAATAAAAGGACAAATACATGGTGTAAAGTTGTTGAAAGTGTTCAAAAAGATAGGTGAGATGTCCATGTAGATAAATAAGTGTTAAAAAGCCCGATAACTTTGCGTTTTGCGATTCATTTTTTATGGGGACAGGTGGTAACAGGTCGTAGTTGGTATTTCCAGCCGACAATGTTCTATAGCCCTGCGGCAGTTTATCGAACGCGGGCTATAGTACTAGAGCTATACTAGCCTATGACTATGAGCGATACCGCGCGTGCATATTTGCTAATTAATTAGACTAATCGGGCTTCAATAGACTCAAAATTCACAGAGATTAAGGCTAAGAGTAAGACGTGTCTTAGCTAGAATTTATAGAAATGTAACTCAAATCGTTCACGCCATATGATAGTTAGTACACGTTCCTACCGGCCATAGCCGCGCGTATATTATTCGCAGTGGCTACGGGTACGGCAGCCGTATCTTAATGTCTTGAGGCTACGGGTACGGCACTCCATTTGCTTTCATACTTAACGAGACAAAGATGGCGGCGGTGGCGCCAGATTTCGAAATAACGCCTTGGGAAATAAGCCGTACGCGTGCGCGTGTGCAGGTACACGTCTGTGCATGTGTGCGTACGTGCGTGTGTGTGCAGGTACACGTGCGTACCTGCGTGCGTGTGCACGTACACGTGCGTGCATGAGTGTATGCGTGCGTGTGCACGTACGCGTGCGTGCGCACGTCCGTGCGTGCGCACGTCCGTGCGTGTGTATGTACACGTGCGTGCGTGCGTGCGTGTGAACTTACACGAGCGTGCGTGCGTCCGTGCGTGTGCAGGTACACGATCGTGCGTGCGTGTGTGCGTGTGCAGGTACACGCGTGTGCATGTACGACTATCACGAGCCTAGGTCGAGCCGTTTAGATTTGTGCCGCAATTCTGCATTTTCTCCCTATACCTTAAGTTAAGGAGGGAATGTTCCCTTCTTTTACACCTCTTGACCTTTGACCTTTGACCCACCGGCTTCGACATCCCAACTTGTTTTCGGATTACCCCCCCCCCCACGTCCCGAATATCGTGACCGTACGTCGACCTGTTAAATTTGTGCCCAACTGTTGACGGACGCACGGCCGGACGGACACACGGATGCACGCTCCTGCGATTCTACAAGCTGCATCTGACTATGTCAGTTGAGCTAATAAATGATGAAATTAGTCTACAAATCTTAAACCTAGAATATTACAATATGGCAATTATATTACCTTAATTATTTACATCATGTAAAATAATGAGTTTAGATATGCTAATAGTGAGCATGGTTGCAGTGTTAAAACATGACGAATTGTTCTGTGTGCCAAACTGCACAATGAAGTTTACTATTTTCGAAACGACCGCTTCATATCCTTTTGTCGTAAAGATATATAGGAAGTTAATTGACTAAATAACCACACAAATCGTGCCAGTTCTTAAATAGTTGCTAGCAACAAGTAAACGTGTGTAGCACAGAAATACCATGGTTATTTGGTAATTGCACAACTACTGCAAATAACATAACATGTAAAGAAATTGTACAGTTTTGGAATGAATAAGCCTATAAAAAAATTATGATCACTCAGCTGTCCTGGGGTATCAAAATTTGAATGTTGTCATAGTACTTCTAATCAAGATTGCTCAGATTTGTTGAAGACATTTTATGAAAGCAAGTACAAATTAGTATAAATATACTTGTGCAACATAGACTAGATCACAGTAGAAATGCCTAAACACTTCGTTGTGATGTTATTTCTGATCAGGTTAGACAAGTCTCTCTTTACTAAAATATGTCACCACAACTATTCTCATGATATTCTTCCCCATCACTAAATATAATTGACAATCTCTAGTATGCCATATATCATCACCTACTTAATGATTTGACAGACATCTGGCACACTTCTGAGAAACTCTTCAAGTGTCCTAAAGCCAAGAGACTTGAATGGAATAGAATCGCCTGTAATATCCTGGTAGTCGTCTGTAAAAGAGTCTCACATAAATGCAAGTTTAATCAAGAAATACCTACTATGACAATTCATAGGAGTAGCAATGGATTACACATCTCGTCCAACGTTGCATACCATTGCTCGATCTCTTCCAGTACTCTCATTATACATTCTAAACACTCTGTTCCTGCCTGCTCCTTCATTACAGAAGCAAGCATTACCTCTGTAGAGCTCAACGCTGGTACACTCATGCAAGCACGCAACTTTACACGATATGCTTTATTTTCATGATGCAGCTGCAGCTATTGACATCTATTGTTACGCACATGTAGACATACTTCAAATGCCAGTACATTGGTACATTCTGTGACACACAGATTATTATAATTATATACTTACAATTTAGTTTCGTGAATTTCACTCCACCTTTCTCACTGAGGAGAACGCTTCGCAGCATGCTCTTCACACTCTTTACGCGCTGCTCCATGGTGCACAGCCAGTCTCACGGTGGGCTAAACTAGAAGAACGAAAGCAAGTGTTGCACGCTGCATGTAAACTTTATAGAGCCAGTGATGTCTTTTCTTACATTTTAGCATCTGTTATAACCATGCAGGGTTTCTTCTACATTGGAGGCACTGTGGCGCACCGCCGTTGTCAAATTTAACAACGCCGTTGTGAAAATGTTCCTGTATTTACCCGCCGTTGTCAAAATAGTGTCAATCAAAAAATAAATAGATCACTGACACCACGTGCTTCTGACTAGATACATGGAAAATCGTAATAAAATTTACAGCAACGTTTCTTTTTGCGTGCCGGCAAACTCCTGTGTCATTCCCGATTGCAGCTTTTTCCTCGATTCCTCGATTCGCCGCACCAGCCAGAAAGCACGAGCCACGATGTGTACAGCAATGGACGTGGGTAAAAGGGGTGCCGCGGGCTGCTTTTGTTCTTTTGCGTGAATGCGTGAGAATGCGTAGGGCATCATACGGGAGTGCGGGAGAATGAGTCCAGATGCGCGAGTCTCCCGCGAAATGCGCAGCGTGAGACTTGGTAGGTCTGCTAACATAGTAAGATTTAAACTAAAAGGTGAAATTTTATTTTCTGGGTGCCTCAAATGCAGTCCAAGACATTCAAAATTTTAAAATTTTGCTGGGGGAGACCCCCAGAGCCCCTCTCTCCCCCACGTCTGCCTGCAGAATTCACATTCGTGCCTACTGCACACCTTTGAATCCATCATGTGCGTTTTTTCCCCAAACTGGCCAGTACCGCCATTGTCTAATTTTCCCTCAGAAGAAACCCTGCTATGGTTGTAACATTTTATTGATCTAAGCCAATAATGGAGATACATTGCTTCATGATACTCAGTACCATAAATTGTATCCTCGTATTCCAATATGCCCCACATACAAAATGCAAGCCACGAAAAAAACCGACACATCGTTGACATACAAACAGAAAATGCAGCTTGAAAAGGGTTGAATATATATTTCAATTTATAATCATGGAGACATATTTTATTATGACATTAGTTCAGTGTCAGTACCTAATATAAAAAAAGTTCTACCAAAAGCTCTAGATTACCTAGCCACGACCTAGGGATACACAATGCTCAATTTATGTTGGGAGCCAAATTGTCACACCTTAAAGCGATCATTGCGAGTTTTTTTCAGCGTTTTTTAGTGTTTATTCTCACTCTCATGATGCCTACCGTTGTTGCTTGAGTAACAGTAATTGTTTGAAATAACAATAAAATGTCTTAGAACCGCATGCAAAGACAAAATCATGCACGATTACAATTTTGCGTTCTCTTGTTGATTTTCGCTGTCATGTCTCGCACTTTCTCGCGGTACCGCGAGACGTCAACAAGGGTACAGTAATGCAAAAATCGCACCGGAGATATTTTTGGTCAGATGTAAACACAGAGGTGCATATAGTAGCGTAACACAAACAAGAGTGTAAGTTGTAACCTCATAAATATTAGTCTTCAAAAGTCCTAGGGACTATAACGAAGACGGAGAGAGAAGTGGATCAAATCCTCGTTATGTACCGCCAGTGAGAATACTTATCACACACAAATAGATGCCCCTTTGTTTTAATTATGTTCGCTTGTTTGAGACGCCATTTGTGATTTTTGAAAGTCCTGACTCGAAAAAATTTATTGCTGGTATGATGTGGTCAAATCAATTTTTCTATGCTATAACTGCATAAAATATTTGTGTTTTGAATGTTGGTGTAATCAGTGATATTTTCGCTGTCAGGTGAGACTATATTCAGCTATATTTCGTTTTTCTGAGCAAAATTCTCACAATGATCGTTTTAAAACATATATATGTATACAACTGTAACATTGGTACAGCAATTTTCAAAGTTTCTTCTTCTGTATTTTTTAAATCTCAGCTACAACCGGCAAATTGCATAATTGGCATGCTCAGTTACTACGCACTAAATAATGAATTAGAACTCTACAAAATACAATGTAGGCCTTAGCCCGACCAGGCTGTACGACCGATTGTCTATATACATTGGTCTTCTAACCCTAGCAAGACCGTTTCTTGGAGCTATGTAGGCCTATGGCTATGCCATGGTCAACACCATCACAGCAACATCAGTCACTATCGACTGAAGTGGGACCTAGTCAACCCTAGGGTCGTCAAAAGCCCGAACAAGAGAGCAGGAGGATGCTGCCAGAGACATCATTGGCGGCATCATGAGCAGTTGCCCTATAACTATAAGTGCAGTGATAGCCTTTACAGACGGCAGCTGCCAACCCAACCCAGGACCTTGTGGCGCAGGCTCTTGTATACTCCTACCTGGTGAGGACACGCCCATTGAGATCAGCAAACCAGTATCACAGCATAGTACCATACTGCTTGGAGAGCTAGTAGCCATCTTATTGACCTTGGACTATATTTGCACCGAAACCAACATGGATGCCACGGCGATGGTCCAAATCTTCTCTGACAGCCAATCGTCCATAGGTCTACTCACCTTAGGATGGAAAGCCAAGCAGTTCTTGGACACTATCTCCAGATGTAAAAGTCGAATGTGTTATCTGGAAGCACTAGGCATTCCAGTTAGCATATCCTGGACTCTTGGACACGCTAACATCACTGGCAATGAGATTGCTGATAAGTTGGCCAAACAAGCTAGTCAAACAGCTGCTAGCATGGAGAGTGAGGGACCGACCTCCCAAGGGGACGTTAGAGGGGCCGTTAGGGTCTCTGTCAAGGCCAGGTGTCAGAGACAGTGGGATGTATCGGAGACAGGCAGATGCCTTCACAGCTTGAAACCTTCGGTCAGTATGCATGAGCTGATCGACGTACCGAACCATCGCCTCTATTCCAAAATAGCCCAACTAAGAACGGGATACGTGGGCCTAAATAAATATCTCCACATAATTGGACAAGAGGATAGCCCCAACTGTGAAGAGTGTAGTAAGCCCGAGACAGTAGAACACTTTCTCTTGGATTGTGCTCGTTTTACAGAACAGAGAGAACGACTGTGCTACAAAATCTTCAACCTGTGTGGAGAATGGTCCATCTCAATAGCCATGTTATTAAGTGTGTTAGAAGACGATCAATAGAAAGACATACGCGTCAAAATATGTGAGCTTCTAGGTGCTTACATAGCCCAGACATGTCGCCTCTAGTCTAAAGAGTAAAGACGTCACCGCCACCTATTACCCAGTAATAGCCGTTATACCGTGAGACACTTACATAGCGTGACATTAACGTACTAAGTGACGCTGAGAGGGTCTATGTCCCCCGGGGTACTGCTGGAACGTACCCTGGGTACGGTCCGGTATACCGAAACGTACCCTGGTACCATCTAATATGCCGGACAGTACCTCGCCTACTCCACTAATGCTCAAGGGGTCGTTGTCGTATCAGGTACTACAGTATGTACCCGAGGTACATAGATCATGTATACACAAAGTGTACCAGACTTGTACTACAGAAGTGTACCCTAACCCTAACTAACCTCAACCCTAACGCTACACATACCTCATATAAAAATATAAACATAATACTAAACAACCCAAAACTACCTCTGGTAGCAATATTGTTAGTACTGATAGCGACAACGACCACATCTGGCTCACTAACACGAGGCACTGTGCGCAGTTAATGTCATTGTACGCTGGGCTATGAAGCCTGCGGGCCTAAGGCTAGAGGTCTACCTAACCGCTATACGGCCTAGACCCATATCAAGATATGATAACATTCGGCACACATAATATAACAAAGTATCCTGTATGAAATAATTAGATAATTATAATAGTTCATACATAATGAATATGCAACAGTGATATATTATTGTTCTCGTTAAAACCTTAAAACGCAAAATAGCCATGCTTCGTATCTATGCACGGTTCTCTTGTTAGAACGAGGTTGCTTATTCGCTATGCTTTTACTTTTACAAATTAATTAGCTTAAACAAAATAATAAGGGTCATAACTTACATTTCATTAACGATATGTTAAATCATATAGTGATTGTTATTTTATATTACTCAATTAGTTGTTTGTCAGTTATCATATCATTAGAAATACATATTCGAATAGGCCGCCCTAATGTCCGGAATGCCGAATCCTACAACTTGCAAGCTTATCGATGTCGTCCATTCTGGCACGAATAAAGTTGGTTTGTTTGTTTGCGAAGTGATGGCAGCATCGAGCCCGACGGCGTTGAAGAGCAGATGAATTAGTGAGTCTGCAGTTTTGTGACGATTATAGGTGTAGGGTTCCGTGCCATAATCAATTATAGTTATGTATTAACTATTAATCTGAGGCTCGCTAGAGTCTAAGCCTACTTACTTAGCCGTCTAGGGCTCATGTTTTTTGTCCACCACATTCCATCAATCTCATCAATTCAATGATCTGGACCCATGCGTCTAAAGCAGAGGAATTGCTCCGGACCTGTGATTGGAGGATAAAATAGAATTCGTGACGTTTCGTTTCACACCGGTCATAGCGCGCGTGTATTACCAGGCATTGCCTTACTAGCCTAGCTCTAGTACTGTATAGCTCCGCGTTCGATAAACTGCCGCAGGGCTATAGTACATTGTTCGGCTGGAAATACCAACTACGACCTGTTACACCTGTCCCCTGAAAATGATCGCAAAACGCAAAGTTATCGGGCTTTTTAAACACTTATTTATCTACCTGGACATCTCCCTATCTTTTTGAAACTTTCAACAACTTTACACCATAGTATTTGTCCTTTTATCCACAAAGTAAGCACTACTGGCATTTCATTTTAAAACGAAGTGGCGTGCGCACCGTCGCGTGATGTTACGGGATATGTCGCAAAACAACGTGCCTGGCATTTATGGTGGCATCGTATTATTCAAGGGGGGTGATGGGGTGAACTCGCGCATGATGTTGCTTGGCAACCGTGCAGTATGTTTACATGGCGTCCTGGCAATAATCCCTTTTTGAAAAGGATGAAACTGCATCGGCAAACCTTCTTCTGATCCATTTTGATTTTTTGCGCCTCATTTTCGCGCCTCAGTGGCGCACATTGGCACATCAGCGCGAGTTCACGCCCATCACCCTTGAATAATACATGCACCATAAATGCCATGTGTTTTGCGTCATATCCGGTAACATCAGCGTGCGCACGCCCACTCGTCGTTTTAAAATGAAATGCCAGTAGTGGTGCTTACTTTGTGGGAATAAAAGGACAAATACATGGTGTAAAGTTGTTGAAGTGTTCAAAAAGATAGGTGAGATGTCCATGTAGATAAATAAGTGTTAAAAAGCCCGATAACTTTGCGTTTCGATCATTTTTTGGGGACAGGTGGTTAACAGGTCGTAGTTGGTATTTCAGCCGAAATGTTCTATAGCCGCCGCGGCAGTTTATCGAAGCGCGGGCTATAGTACTAGAGCTATACTAGCCTATGACTATGAGCGATAACCGGCGCGTGCATATTGCTAATTAATTAGACTAATCGGGCTTTAATAGCAGGCTTTCATTTTTAAGGGGCGCGATCGCGCTGCGAGCGCTCCACCGCGCACCATAAATTGTGGCCATGGTGCGCGATCATCGCGCCTCATAAAAGTGGTTGAACTCGCGCACCAAAAGTCAGTGTATCGATCGATCGTGTACATCAAAGCCGCCGCGTCACGCGGGCCTGGAGCCTAGTTTTCCCTGTCCATAGATGTTGTCATGTTGCAATGGATCGCGAGCAGGAGGCCTGAGTGGAGTATCTATTCTAGCCCAACTGCTAGTTTCAGTAGCCAATGAGAATGCGCAACTTTCATACACCCTTCGCAGGCTCAATTTTAACAGTCGTCCGGTCGTCCGTGACGACTGCTTTTCTCTCGGCAACTACAATTGCTTCCGTGGTTGTCCGCGTGTGCCACCTCTATTAAAAATGTTATATTCATAATGCGCGCGTTCATTTTACATACGGCCAGGGTTGCACAATACGTCTGCAAGTACATGTCTAGACGCATTGTCTGGCTTGCTTGTACAAAGTATAACATTACGTGTTTAACACACAATGTTTCGTGTTAATTTTCAATTTTGCTCATCTGTGACTTGACACATACAGTGTTTGTAATGTTAGTAATTGTTAGTAGTGTAATGTTAGTAGTTATTGTAAATGCTATGAAATAAATTTTTGCAAATTTTAATTACTATTATTATACGTCATTGATTCCCAGCATCTTTTACACATTACCAATATTTTTTATCTTCATATAATGAGTGAACACATGCGAATGGCCATGTCTGCTGTCACTGCAATACGTAAAAATGTCACTGATTAGGCTTTTGCTTTACAGCACTGAGCATCACGTGAGCAGAGTGCATGCAGCACATGTTTTAAATAATATCCGACAACTAAAACTCTTGAGGGACAACTCCCGACAGAACCCAAAAAAAAACTTAAAATTGAGCACTGCGCCTGTCGTCGTATGGCAGACCTTTTAAGAATGGCAGACCTTTTAGAGGTGTGATTTTTAGTGAGCTCTCCATCATGCTCTTAAGGGTGTGATTTTTAATGGAGCTCTGCCATCATGCGCTCTTAATGGGTGTGATTATGGAGCGTGAAAAGTCCCCCTATGGTGGTTCTAGGGGAGTCATGTAGTCCTCCTGTACTTTTCAAATCTGAAAGCCTGCAATAGACTCAAAATTCACAGAGATTAAGGCTAAGAGTAAGACTGTCTTAGCTAGAATTTATAGAATGTAACTCAAATCGTTCCACGAGCCATATGATAGTTAGTACACGTTCCTACCGGCCATAGCCGCGCGTGATATTGTCTCGCAGTGGCTACGGGTAGGCCAGCCGTATCTTAAGTCTTGAGGCTACGGGTACGGCCCTCCATTTTGCTTTCATCCTTACACGAGACAAAGATGGCGGCGGTGGCGCCAGATTTGAAATAACGGCCTTGGGAAATAAGCCGTACGCGTGCGCGTGTGCAGGTACACGTCTGTGCATGTGTGCGTACGTGCGTGTGTGTGCAGGTACACGTCGTACCTGGCGTGCGTGTGCACGTCACACGTGCGTTGCATGAGTGTATGCCGTGCGTGTGACGTCCGTGCGTGTGTATGTACACGTTCGTGCGTGCGTGCGTGTGAACTTACACGAGCGTGCGTGCGTCCGTGGCGTGTGCCGGTACACGATCGTGCGTGCGTGTGTGCGTGTGCAGGTACCCCGTGTGCAGGTACACAGTCGTGTGCAGGTACACGCGTGTGCAGGTAGCACGCGTGTGGCATGTGTGCGTGGCGTGCGTACGTGCGTGTGTGTGCTGGTACACGTACGTGCGTGCGTGCGTGTACACGTGCGTGCGTGTGTGCGTGCGTGCGTGCGTGCGTGTGTGCGTGTGTGGCACATACACGTAAGTGCATGCGAGCGTGCGTGCGTGTGCACGTACACGTGGGTGCATGAGTGTGTGCGTGCGTGTGCTTGTATCGAACAATTCACGCATCTGGCTTGCTGAACTGGCACGAGAAAACACATAGACACGAGTCATACGAAACGTGTCAAAGTAACGGATCCATTTCTGTTTTATGCGAATGACTGCGTTGTTGAATCAAATTTAGAGAGTGCTAGTCACCTTCGAAGTGGTAGAAGAAGAGAAGGAAGTGGTAGGAAAAGCGCAAAGGAAGAAGTGACAGCAGATTCAAACAAGGGACAAGAATCTTAATCGAGCAATTGAAACGTTTACAAGATTAGGCCGTATATATAGAAAACCTAAGAATTTTAGTTTTAAATTCTTGTAAACTGCCTCGTGTTACAATATGTACAGTTGTGTACTATGTATGTAGTGGTCTCGAGCCGGCATCGACCCGAGTCCTCGAGTCCGGAGGGCTCGAGTCCGAGTCCGAGTCCGAGTCATTGCACTCCGAGGCCAGACGAGACCGAGACTAAGGAAAACGGTCTCGAGGCCGGTCTCGAGGCCAAGACCGGCCTCGAGACCTACAACACTGATTATCATTATCATGTATGGAATGTATCATATTATCCATTAAATGAAATATTATAGTACAAATTACTACAATGAAGCAGTTATTGTGCTGAATTTTTTTTTATAATGTAGTATGTCTTTACATTGTAGTGCATTGTTCGTGTAGGCTCGTTCTAGGCTTAGCATGGACAAATCCCGGTGTGAATACATATTCCTGAAGTGCATACAATTTGTTTTGATATCTACTTGGAAGAAATATATGCAAGTGAAGATAATCTACTTTGCTAAAATAATATCATAATTCTGATCATATTCAATCTGCCATTTACCAGGGTAGGAGTTTAGAAAAAAGGTGCACTCGTCCACATAGATGAGTGGCTACTGAAAGCCACCTGTAACGTACTGGTAATATTCTGAGGTATAACTGAAATAGTACGATACATAAATATTGATAATTATTGTTTAAAAATGAGTAGTTGATGTTGCTTTCTATGATTTCTTTCTCTTTTTTGTGGCATTCACAATCACAGAATGTACACCTCATGCAGATAAGCAAAGGCAAACATCGCTACGTCAGTGGTGGTGTGTGATTTGAGTCAGAGCAGTATGAGATTGGGTATGATTGCGATTCTATATTACAACATGATTACGTACATGTGGGCGCAGGGTGCACCATTTTAACAAATTATGTTCATTTGCTTGAGTATTAGTGTATGTAAGCAGTTATGTACGCTTACTTAAGCTAAGAATTTTGGGCTTCTGGAATATTGATTCAACAGCATACATGTATGGCTGTAAGGCGGCGCCGGGAAAAGCACGTGCTATTGCCTGGTGCTGCCACTAGAAAATAAGGTACCAACTACAAGGTTGCATGCTGCACTTCTGCTGTCTTCGTGGTACTAATGAGTTGTGTAAGTTGACTTCTAGGCGTGTATTATGAACGCTGTTGACTCAGCTGTGGATTTCAGGTTTGTGTAGTCTTAGATTTTGCATAACACGGTACTTCAATAGGGTGTGTAATAATAGTTTATACGCAGTGATATAGCCACGTGTCGTTCTTATCAGAATTTTTACTCATTCGTCGCAGGAAAATTTGAATTTAAACTTGAATTGGGATGTATCGCAGGTTATATGACACAGGTTATAAGACATTGAAGTCTTATAGCCTGTGTCATATAAAACGTACATTTATACCATGCAGCATCCGTACAACTGGAAAGAGGAATTATTTTGAATTATTAATTGACACACACACGGCTTTTTGAGTTTACATCTAACGCAATTATCTTGAGCAGTGACGTGACCCGAGGGATAGTCTGAATTGTTTATGATACTGAATCCTGGAGCATATATATAGAGAGCATTCTGAATGCGATGTGTAGCATGATTTAAAACGTTGATTTGGTCGTCCTTCATTCTTGTATGCTCCGTAATCTGTGCTAAAGGACAGATCATTTGTTTAATATTATAGCCTTATTATTCTGTCAGATCTATCATCTCCAGTATAAAGAGGGTGAACAGGAAAGAGAGACGTAATATATACATTTTTTAAAGTATTCTGCGTTAAATGTCTTCTATTCCTACAAGCAGTACAAGCCACTGTATTGTGGTTCAGCATGTGAGTTGGGCAGTGGTGCTGTATGTCGGCATTGTCTGAAGTTCTGAACCTACAGTTTTTATCCCGTAGAGGAAGGATTTTGTAATGAATTAACATAATATTGATCAATTTTCACAGAGACAGTGAAGAAGTTTGCCGCGTGGCGTGTATAGACTCTAGCACTGGGATATCGTGTGCAATGACGGTTGGCAGACGAACTGTATACGCAGTTAATTTGCTTGTTTGACATCCCGTAAATACACCAAGACAAATACACTAGAGCCTCAATTCGATGAGTTTTATATTAGGAGTTCAGGAGCGCTTAAATCTGGCAGATCTGAGTTTTTGTTTTGTTTTTGTGAAGGGGTGGGGTATATATTGTACACGTGAAAACGGGGGGAAATCACTTTGTCTGGGGAAAAAATATTCGAGCAGTATGGACTTGTTCTGACTTTGCTATACATAACACAACATTCCTTATTACGTAAAAATATTGGAGAATCGATGCAGGGAATCGATGTGATTCCCTGAAGGAGAAATTTCTATAATAAAATATATTATGGTCTAATAAAAGAAAGACGGTACACAATGCGAAGAATCAATGGTCAATGTTTACATTTAACGATCGAGATGCATCCCTCTGAATAGTAGAACTATTTTTGATGTGGGCAGCTTCATTCGCTATACATGACCATGAATGGCCGTAAGGTATGGAGAATATTGACGTTTCTACATGTGCTTTGGACTTGGATTTATTGTTTTTCTGTGACCAGATGGTTGTGCCGTAAGTGCTGTCTGTATTTCAGGTTTGGCAATGTGACTTTCTGTTTAACCCCTTGTGAAGTATTTTTTTTAGTGTGGACACTGGACAGGTCTAGTAATTTGATGTGTAATGAGCGTGGTATTTCTTGGAAGAAGCTAATCTCCTGGTGTAAGATTTTAATTGTAGATTTGCATGCGTGGCTTATGGTAGAATGGCGGGTAGGGAATGTGATAACGGACATTGCAAGAAAAGTTTGGTTTAGTGGTTGACAGTGTGGGACAGAAGGTTTCTACCATGTTCAGAATGTGTACATCCTTTGTTTTTTAGGTGTGACCTATTGATTTCAACATGGCTTAATTTCAAAAACCCTTGCATGTACTTTCAACCCTTATGCAAAGTTTAGTTGTCCATTCAATTTTTAGACACGGTAAGATGGTATACAATATAGGTATGGAATGTTTCAGTCATTGTGTTCCATCCCGTTTGCTTGGGTGTTATTTGTATTCTCGTGTTCATGCACAAAACTGATAATCTTGGGCCACTAGCAGGGATTCGTAGGCCCTTTGTGTACTCTGACCTTTTTTTAATCTTTGTTGGGTGACTGAACCTGTCTGAGTGAAACAAAGTCAACAACAAAATTCAACAGTTGAATCCTAGAAAAGATTTCTTTTCATATTTTGTCATAATTTTGCCTTAAATTAAACAGAAATAATTACCAGGGTGTGCAGTGCATATTGTTCATTTCCTCTGAGTCTGATACAATGGCGTTGCTTATTAAACCAAAAGGCTTTAATTTCATCCCTCTCACTCTGTCCCCCTCCCCCCTCGCTCTCTATTTTATCTGCTGTCTTTCTCTTCCCACCCCGACTGTATCTCGCTAGTTAACGCTGTGTAAAGCTGTGTAACTAAAATCAAGTGCGTGTATTGACAACCAGTGACATCTGCTTCATACCTTCAGCTAGTTCACAAGTTTTTAACTGCCTACCTTACATATATGCATGCTTTCACACTCATGTAAATTCTTCATACATTTGTTATTATCACATTGCTTGTTGTTATAAGAGCTGAGCTGAAATAAGCTGGTTTTTGATTAAATAGCTGTTCTAGGCTGTGCTCGCGCAACTGCTTATAAACCATCTTTCTAGAAGTCCTAAACATTCGCATATCTGGTTATTCAGATAATTGTTTTAATATTCGCTAATAGTAATAGGCAATTCATGAATCTTCAGCTGTAACACCATTCATGTTACCCTGATTGAGGCATGCTGGGTTAGTCAAACCACTGCTGCCCAGGTAACACAGGAATTGTAAAAAAGTTTCAAGGAAAGAACAAATTTTAAATTAATAAACATAATTATGTACAATGAAAATTTAAGAACATTGTTTCTTTGTGTTTGATTTTCAGATAATGCATCTTCAACGGCACATAGTTGAGAATTGTTTTTATTTTTAAATATGTATAATATTTTGAGTTTCTAGTCATAAACGGATGTCTGTGTCTATGTGCGTGTATGTATATATATATATACTAACTGCATGCCTGCTGACGTGCATGCTAGTTGCTTGCATGTGCACACCGAAACAACTGCAGCAAGTACAGCTATAGTGTGTAAATAGTAGCTAAAAATAAATTTCTAAGCAGTACGTAATATTTTCTTTTAGTAGGCTTCATTCTAAATATTTGACTGAAATGGTGTGCTGAGTAACGTGCCAAGTATATTAAGAGTGTCTGCGCGTGTTTCACTGTGTTGCAATTAATACACCAAATTTCACATCAATTGGCCTGTACTTGAATTCTTCATGGGAGCCAGAGTAAAATTGTATGAAAGGACCAAACTGCCTTCATGATACCAATGATACACATTTCAAGTTGTTAGCAAAATGCAATAAAATCTCTATATGGAGCCTCATGATACTCTTAAATAGAACATGTAACATTATATATCAGCTTTGTCTGTTGATAAACGTGCTAAAACTATCTAGTAATAGACTAACACATAATACAACGGGGAATTTTATACATGACATTGCTTCTGTGTGGCATTTTGGCTATCTGGTGGATAGGGCCATGAAGTTATAAACAACGATGATAATAAAGTTATAGCACAAAATGTGAACAAGGAGAGAAAAGTGAAGAAGATGTGATGGATATATATATGTGTTATTGATATATATATATATATATATATATATATATATATATATATATATATATATAGCAGAGTTATTGAATTGGAGCAGTGTGTGTGATAATCATGTGGATGAAATTATGTACCAGATTTGCTGTCATAGGGCAATATATATATATTGATGAAGTTGCTTGTATAGTAAATAATTACAGACGTTGCATGAGTTACTCAGTTACATGTAACATGATGCCGACCCACTATTCACACACGCACGCACACATTGGTGCAGTGTGTGTAGGAGTTGACCAAAAAGAAGTATATATTATATATATGAGCACTATGATTACAATTCCCATTAAGCCACTGGAAGTAGGTGCACCGTACCGTAATTAACTCGGTGTGAAATGGCTGTGAGGGTGGTAGCTAATGTACACATTATTTTATGTGCAAAATGTAGTTATTTTCTTGATGTACTTCTATGGCACGTAATTTAGTTCATGTAAATCTCTTTGCAGTGGCTTTGATGCGTTCCGCTGGGGATCACCACAGTAGTGCTGCAAACGTTAGAATCATGTTTGCAGAGTACAAGAACCGTTGTAGCAATCCAGAGTACCAGAAATTATGTAAGTAGCACTACACTGACATTCGGTTCCTCCAATCACTGTTCTTACACACCGAACCCTCCCTGTCACCTAAAAATCAACAGTTATACAAGCCTACAAGGTAACGTTGATTAAATGTTCTTTAATTTACTCGAAATATCATCAGGACTTTTGCATTCACTTTTGCTATGTATGTTTCGTTCAATCTTCTCGTTTGAGCCAAGGCAAGGTTTGATATTGATTAAGTGTGAATTTCATCACTATGTGTTCTCTTCAAAGTAACATCCAATGCAGCAGCTGAGTACTTACAGCTGCATAGTCACATGACACTTCAACCTTTCCATCATTGGGTAGTATTAGTCCAAGAATTTGCTTGGTCATTGTTTGGCATCATTCTGAATAAAGACTGTATGAATATAGCTTTTAAAAGCAATATCGTGTAATGGGAATTAAATGTGCAACAAACTGAGTTCTCATCTCTCATCTATATGGTTACGTCGATCTGTCACTCTTGACAATTACTCAATGGTAAAAGTGAAGCGAGTTGAAGAGAGTAGCAGAGGGATATTACTCTGTAAGGCATTAATGGTTAAATTAGTTCATGTTCTTGGCTATCTACATGTTGTTTTTGTTGTTTGAAACTTGACCAACACCACTACTGTGACAAAGCATGTCATTAGGCAGTTTCGTACCAACACAAATATTCAATCCAGTCAGTCATTCAGCCTCATCTTGGACGTGCTATCTAAGAGTAGTGGCTTGAGCAGCTGTTGTTTAACTTTATACCAAGCAAAGGGATCAAAGAAGTTTTGATACGCCAGTAGAGGCGCAAAAAATAGGCTGATTGTCATTGCATTCGTTATGGCATGGGCATGACATGAGAAGCCTGTTTAGACTTATTGTACGTGGTTGTTTTTGCATTACATGCTGAAAAAAGACTCTGTATCAGTTTGTATACAAAGGGTATTCCCATACGTTTGAAATGATAACTTTGGTATCATTTCATGTAGATTTTTTGCATTAGACATAATATGTATGCAAAGTTTGCCCAATAATTGAACTATTGTGGTTGAAATAACACCGAAAGAGATTGCTTGAGCCTAGCGCAGACCTGCAATTTTTTCATGCAACTTGACAGCGATTCTAGAATCACTGTAAAAATTGCTGTGAAATCGCTGCGTCTGCGGGAATGTGCAACTCCAACCCGTAGTGATTCTGGTCGCTTGTGACGAGTTGCAAGAAATCAGACTCGTCACTCCAAATTGCTCTAGAATTGCTTTTTCAAATTGCGTGTGTGCGCACACGCGGTAATTATACATCGACCGATCGCAGGTCTGGCTAGGCTTTGGTGTTTTCATGACAAGCTTTAAGTAGGACCTAAAACCCTGATTAGCAAATAAATTTACAGGGACACTACACCCTAGAATTTTAGGGTATATTATGATAGTAAGTGCATAAATAATAGTATATACCTACAAATTTCTATAATCATGCATTCACATTTGTCATGAAACAACAATGAGTTTGGACATCTTTATTTATTTTCTGCCGCTGACATGACACTCTGCGATTGTACTGCCACCCCGACGAAGTTGCACTTTTGCAGATTTATTTTGTGCGTTACAGACCGAGGGCTAATCACAAAAGTGCAATTATATTTATACCTAAAGTCTGCTATTTAACTGAACAATCTTTATTTTAGGACAAATTCGTTCATATTATAACTGAATCTAGAAGTTATTTATAAGATATTGCAATCCTTCTTCTCTTAAGTTAATAAATAAGAAACACCCTCGCCCTGTAGCCTCCAGAAATGGGTTTTAATTATCCAACATACGAATATTTTCTGTTCAATAAAAATACTCATTACGCACACATAATATCTAGCAACAATAATTAGTCGTATTAGTACGATCTTGTTAACTTGTTTTTATGCATCAAAACCATTTCTGTTCAATAAAAATACTCATTACACACACATATACACATCCATACATGTTGAGATCTTGAAAGGATCGATGCGTTTGTATGTAAGAATTTAGAATAAAATAACTGGAAGAGTATGTAGAATTTGTGTTCACTAATAGGATATATTGTTTACAAATATACAGTCACCATCTTGTCTCGTCTCGTCTCCCAGTTCCAACTCTCGCTCCGCGTTCCACTCCTGTTCAAAACGCTCTCTATCTATATATATGACTCTCTCGTCCAATCACCAACAAGCTCTACTCTGCACAGTGCACAACCAATCACGCACAACTCTCATTCGTCTTATTACGCGCCAACCGTACATGTGTCCACACTGTCCAGCACCTGAGGCGTGTTCAGGAGAGCGAACGCTGGCGAGCGCTCGCCTTTTGAACGACACTGCGCGAGCGCACGCGCAAATTCAAAAGGCTGTTCGCTCAGCGCGCGGGGTTGTTTACAAGATGGCGACGGGCAATCTGGCAAATGGGAATCTAACATTTCTGACTTCAATTTGCAATCTATTTCAACTTCATTTCATTTTTCATTCATTCATTTACTTCTAAATTCAATTCGTATCAATTTCGTCTGCTAATTCGTTTAACAGTACTTGTTCGAAGACATTAAAATCTCGCGATTAAAATCTGCTGAGTAACCCTCTATGGGGGCCGCCATTATGGATAAAGCCAGCGCACAGCGAGCGCTCGTGTGTCGTTCAAGAGGCGCTGCGTTCGTTCATCGAGCGTTCGCATCGAGCGCTCGCTCTCCTGAACACACCTCTGTACTCGCGCCACCTATCGTTTGTAATCTGTCTGCTAACTGCCTAATTCCCCAACCTAGGCTGTTTCTAACCCA